ACACACACACACACACACACACACACACACACACACACACACCACAGCTGATGTTCCTCCATATAGAAACTCTGAAATGCAAGGAGTCAGTACTCAGAAAAAAAAAATCTGTCTTTTAAGCTTCCTTGATTGCTCTTTAAGAAACTAAACAGTAAATGGACAGGGAAAATACACCTAAGTATAGAACTCTGGCAAAACCCCAAAGCTGGAATCTGTGCTTGGTAATATTAATGGAACTGATGAGGCTTTCTCTGGAGAGTAGATGCCATTTTCATTTACTGAGGAATCGGGAGTCATTATGCTTTCTTGGTTTTCTAAAAAGTCAATCTATGCTCTGCTATATGAATGTTAAGACCCCAGCTAAAATAATGATTGGATTTATTATTTTGAGGAGTACTTTGTACTGTGCCTTCTTAAATGTCTGTTTTGATGTTGCTTTTATTACTGTTTGTCCCTTTTATATGGGTAAGCTCCCTTGGGAGAGCTTTTCACCATAAATGTAGGCCAGAAATATTTTAAATAAATGAAAATGTCATCTCTTATTATTGAACTCTTTTGAAAAACCACTTCCTGATTCTTCTTGGATTGTCAAGAATATTAGAACTGAACTTCTACTTGGCAGGGGGCTGGGATAGATGCACTTTATAAAAACACAAAACTCAAAAATTACTTATTCTCCTCTCAATAGCTGTCAAACCAAAGTAGAAAGTATAACCATCAAAAGTAGTTATGCCAGAATAAGAATTATAACATTAATCTGACACACTAACAAAGGGCTCCTAAATTCAACTACTTTGAAAAAACTTCTGCCTTCCCCCCCCCCAAAAAAATATGATAACAATATAATGGCAGCCCTTTTCCCACCATTCAAACATCTCTGTTTCTAAATAGTTTTCAAATACATGTTTTCATTTTTAAAAAAATTCAAATGTGGAAGTTAATTTATAAGACTGTCAACTCCAATAATACAGAAATAACCATATGCTGAAAAGTGTAGGTGTTTGTTTGGCTCTGTGCAACCAAAACAAAGGCATGAAAAGCAAAGATGCACCATTTCAACTTTCCTCAATACGTAGATGATACAACCAATTGCAACAGAGAAGAGTTTCCCTGCAATTCACCATGAAGGTTTTAGCATATTTTGTGTCCCTGGAAATGTACCTTTTCTCCCGGCTGTGCAATCTTTCCAATTCTCTGACAGTTCTCCCTCACCAGTTTATGCATTCATTAAACCCATCTTCCTGCCCGGCACAATCTTCCAATTCTGCTGCAGGTCTTGCCACAATAAGATAGAAGTGAACGGTATCTTTATTTCTTACCTGGCTCTGTGCAGTTCTTTTTGTGTGACTCATTATGTGATGCCATCAGTTTTCTATTCCTCCATAATTCTGACAGAACACTTGGGTTGACAACAGCTGACTCTTGTCCTGCACAAAGACAGACACTGCATTTGTAAGGGCAAAAAGGACTTTGGGTTATCCATATAGATAATTTTTTTTCTATTAGAAAACCATAATTTGAGGCTAAAATAGAAGTTGCCTCCTACTGAATCAAACCATTAATACATCTATCACCGGGAATTCTCCACCGTATTAGCTGGAAAGGAGTCTCTGATCATTTTTTTGATACATATAAATTATATATGGACTGGTGCATATTAGAGAAAAATCCCAGAACAAGAGGGAAGATAGGAGGGTGACAAGGAAGAAAGGCAAAAAGTGCTGTAGTAATTGCAGTATTGGCTTCAGAAATCAGGATGTGCAATGAAGGTATTTTTGTGACCTTGTACTAATAGAATATAGAATATTCTTTATTGGCCAAGTGTGATCAGACACACAAGGAATTTGTCTCCAGTGCATAAGCTCTCAGTATACACACAAGCAACAAAGTGATAACTCATAAGATACAAAGCCCTCATGTAGAGTTGTGAAAATGTAAGATTTGACCATTAGTACTAATAATATGCAGAAAGTTCCATCCTGATCATGTGAGTGCTCAGCACCGCCCAGTTAATCATTTAACCGTAATGAGCAATAATGCAACATGGTAGACAAACATGGGACTATCTACGGAGGGACATCCAGGCATAGAATCAAAGAATCTCAGAGTCTTTTCTTAGCTGCTGCTCAGGGCAGGAATCTAACAGGCAAATGGCTGTTCAACCTTTGATTGAAAACCTCCACAGTGATGAAACACCCCCAACTCCAGGAGATAGACTGTTCCACTGCTAAACGGTTTTAGGTCCAAAAAGAACCATCCAGATGATCTGAATTAGACGGACATTCAGGAGAAGCCTGAAAGCTTGTCTTTACGCTGCGACATGAAGCTCCACCCCCCCGGGTATTGTGTCATTCTTGACAAACACAGCAACCTTAGCTTAAAAGATTTCTCCTCTCTGATAAAATTTCAAAGGGACATCTGTGCGTTCTTTTATCTTTTATTTTTAGAGTTTGTATCTTTTTCTGTAAAGCTTCCAAACCCATTGGTTCTTGTCCTACCCTCGGCATATCGCCCCCACAGTCTGGGTCCTCATTTCACCCACCTCGGAAGGATGGAAGGCTGAGTCAATCTTGACCCAGTGAGATTTGAACCGCTGAACTGCAGATAACAGTCAGCTGAAGTGGCCAGCAGTACTGCACCCTAACCACTGCGCCACCTCGGCTCTTTACTTATTTAAGAATAAGTTCACACCCTTGTCCTTGGAACCCAGTCCTTCATGTTTTGGAAGTCCCTTAGTCTTCTTTTCTTTAGACTAAATACAGCCACTTTCTTTAACTGTTGTTTACAGGATACCGCTTCCAAAGCCCTTACCATCCTTGTTGAATGCTCTTTGTATTCTTCCTGGTTCTTCAGCTTTCTTTTTGTATTATAGCAACAAAACCTGCATACAACACAGGCAGTCCTCATTTATTGACAGTAATTGAGACTAGGAACTTCATCACTCTGCAATGTGGTCATAAGGCATGGTGTCATTTGATCACACTGACTTACAATGGCAGTTATGGGATTGCCTTTTGTGTCCTCCTGCCACTTTCCCCATTGATTTTGCTTGTCAGAGGGCAGCAGCCATGATTGCAAAGGGCAATTACCTGACCATGGGGCGCTTCAATGCCATCACCGAAAGCTGGTCACTCAGCGGCCAAATCATGATCATATGACAATAGAGACACTGTAACAGCCACAAATATGAGGTGTCATCATAAATAAACCTCTTCCGGGCCACAATTTGGAACAGTCGCTGAATTCATTTTCATTTCATTTCATTTTTCATTTTATTTGTCTTGTATGCCGCCCACTCCCGGAGGACTCTGGGCGGCTCACAACAGACAAGGGAAAGGGGATAAATAGACAAGACAACACTTTAAAAAAAGATGCAACATTCACAATTTCCGTGGGGCTGGATGTTTCACAAGCCCCCCGGCCTGCTGGAGCAGCCAGGACTTGGTGGCTTTGCGGAAGGCCNCCCTCTTCTTTGTGGCAACCCCTGAGATATTGGAAGACTGATATCATGTCTCCCCTAGTCCTTCTTTTCATTAAACTAGACCCAAGGATACCCAAGGAAGTTTATACTGGTTTTTACACAGAGTAGTTCTGGTAGCTTAAGATTGTTAGTTCATTTTATTTACTCATGAGCACTATCCACAATACATCACAGGAGGTGCACTAGCTTGCACTAGCTGGCTAAAAGTATGTGGGGACTGTCGGGTCTTCCGGTCCTTCTTCTCTTGACCTTGCCTTGTATCCAGGCAGGGCTGGCGACAGCTCCCACTTCTCCACTGAACCTTGCTAGCTTTTCCTGCCAGAGTGGTACCTATTTATTTACTTACATTTTTACATGCTCACACTTCATGTGATGGTCTATTTCAAGGTTCCTCCTGACATCTTGCCCGAATCCCTTTCCTTTAATGTTAATTCATTAGTTCCAGTCCCATCCTTTAGGTCAAAAAAAGAGTGTCTTCTTCTTCCTCCATGGGACAGTTCTTAAAATACTTAATGCTACTGGCACACCTTCCCTCTGTTATCTCCCCTAGGCTGGATCTTTACAGTTTGCTTTATAATGGCTTCAACACTCATTATCTTCATAGCCTCCTCTGAACTTGCTCCAACCTATTACTGTGATGTGAATTTAACAAAATTGTCTTATTGCCTATTACCTGCCAATAGTTTCAGATCCAATGTCGACACATTCACAACAGTTCTCAAGCCCAGTTCTGGAACTATTCAGAAGGCTATGAAATCCTTTAGTATAAGCAACAAATCATTATCTGAAACAGAGCGCATACCCCAAAATAGTCTTGCCAGGTAGCATCTCGATCTCATCTCCCAGCAGCATTTGCTTCCATAGCCTTCCACAGCTGGTTAAATAAGCTCAACATACAGTATGATCAGGAGGAAATCCTGTCATCAAAAGAATTTGATATCTAGTCCAGTGGTTTTCCAGCATACAAAAGGCTCGCTCTTTCTAGTGAAATTGTTTTTTCACGTCTTCTTCAAACAATGTTAACATTGAGCATGGATTCTGATGTCTGGCATCAAACAGAAGCTAAATTGGAAGCATTCGCTTAAATATTGTCAGCATTTTCCAACCTTGTGATTTTACATTATTCCATTTCAACTAAATAAGGAATGAATGCTTTCTAAAATAATTTGTTCAAATATCAGTGAATGTAAAAAAGATGTTTCTGTCTAGCTCTACTTTCTCCATTTTTATTAATGTTAACCTATTTTGCAGATGTACTTTTTATTTTGTTTTTCTTCATTATTTTCTCCATAACTTCAGGTTTACATTACCTTTTTTTCTTCTTTTAATAAATTGCTAGAATTTAAAAGAACTCTTTTGTGTTCCAAAACATAAGTTCTTGAACCATATTAAGATAAGAATGAAGAAAAAACAAAGTGAAATTATGGTTTTACTTCATACGTTTTTGCTTTCTAATAATTTGGAGAGTTTTTCCCACTGGGTCCCCTCAGACTGGTAACAAAATAAGTTATTGGAGAGCTTTTAGAATAACCTTCCTTGCAGTATGTTAAGAAACTTGGAATATGTAATGAAGAAACAGTTAGTGAACTAGGGTCCAGTAAAAATGGACTACTGTATTTATACATTGGCATTCAGATTCATTCACAATATCAGGAATTAAAATTATTTTAATTGGATCATCAGTTAGTGGCAGTAGAGTAAACCTTTTCTTTTAAAAAAACCCATCATTTTGTAGCTCAGAAAAATATTATCTGCTCTAATGTTAATCATTAATTCTTTGAATGTTATTTTTAATTATTGTTGCTTGACTCATAGGTGCATTGTATATATCATATTTGCACTGCACAAATGTACTGCTCATTTTAAGTTGCTGTCAGATCTGAGTCATGGCCAAAAAAAGAAGATAGATCAGAATAAAAACAGTTCCTATCATATGACTATTTGTGCAACATGCCTATTCAAGATGAAATGTACCATAGTTGACTCAATTAATTTAATTTTCTGGATTCACATAAAATACCAAATCACTTCGCCTAGCTGCATTAAGCTAAAACATAGTTAGCTAGTTTATGGTTTAATATGGTAGGGGAACATAGCCATTGATTGGTATTTTAAGCTGCTGTGTTTTTAACTGGTATCTTAGCAGATGTCACCACTAGGCCAGCTTGGCCTGTGCTTTGAAGCTACACAGGGTCTGCTTAGGACTGCTTAATGCTTGGATGGGAGGCCACAAGTAAACTGGACTGACAAATAAATATCTATACATTCTAGAACAGTGATGGCTAACCCTTTTTGTCATCGACTGCAGAAAGCACGTGCACCCGCACCCATAATGCAATGTGTGTGTGTCACCCACATGCACTCCCCCATACCCCATGCATGCACATGTGACCTCCACACGCCCGCCCTTCCCCCGCACATGTGCATGTGATCCACCCATGCTCCTCCCTTCCCCACACATGCATACGTGCCCCTCCCATGCTCCATTTTAGGCCTAGTAGGCCTCCCTGCAGCCTCCTGGGAGCAAAAGCAGGCCACGGGGGGAGCGCAGCCCATCCCACACCCCGTTTTGGGCCTACGACTCCCTGCAGCCTCCTGGGATCAAAAACGGGCCGCGGAGGGGCCGCACCACACCTCCCACACCTGCCACGCATGCATGGCAGAGACCCCAAAACCAGCTGATCGGCGAGAGGCATTCATGCATGAACAGTGGAGCTGAGCTGGGGTGACAACTTGCATGCCCTCTGTGTGCCACCTATGGCAAGCATGCTATAGGTTCGCCATCACAGTTCTAGAATAATGCAAAGTCAGCTGACTTGTATTATTGCCAAGAAAGTGACAAAGGCAGCTGAGCCCAACTCAAAGGCAATTTTACAGGGCTACCAGATTTGGACTACAAAACTCCAGACAACCATTAGTTGACAGCACAGAAATAAAGAAAATCTCTCATTCAGGTTTTTGCAAGACTAGATCTTGAGCTTTTAGTGAAGGGGGCAACAAATGAGCATTTATTTATTCAATCAGTTTGTATAGCTGTCCAACTCAGCATGTCATTCTGGGAGGTGGGCAATAACAAAATAAAAATCACAACAAATACAAAATGTAAAATACATAGCAGTTGAGGAAGTATTATAGCTCAATCACTAACATATCCAAGAGATAGGTCTCTTCACATACTTAGAACTCCAGGGCTGGCTATAGAACCAATAAATAAAAATAATTAATTTAAAATTAATTGAAATTAAGGAAAGGTTGCATGAAAAAGTTTGTAATGATAATCTTTTTTAAAAAAAATCACATTAAGATTATCCGGATGTGCAGGAGACCTTGCCAAGAGATTCTGCTAATGGGATTAACCAAAACGCACAATCCAAAAATGTATTGTTTTAGGATTGTGCTTTTTTCCTCTCTTAAGAAATATAAAGATACATTGCTGCTTTATAAAGGTATATTTTAAAGGTTACAATCTGATCTATATAGTGTAAGTGCCACTGAAAGCACCACAGTAATCATTGCATTGATTCGTTAAATTAATTCTTGAGCATTTGTCTTTTGAAAACATCATTTTCAGAAGTGACTTTTCTCTTACACATTTATTATTGCAAGTATAATAACATCTAATAACTAATATGTGAAATAGTTATAAATAGCTTCTGGCTATTCTGTGGATTTGCTCGTTCATACATTTATATTCCATTCTGAGGTCCTAAAAAAACACATTCCTGTCGCATCTCACATAAGAAACCAAATCAAATCAAGTCAAACAAAACAACAAAACTGAGAACCAAATACAGTACACAGTACAATCTTGTCTTTGGGGGCCTCTGAAGATGTTGCATTTCAACTCACATAACTACCAGCTACCAAGTCCAAGACCACTTAGACTAAGAACTGGGTACATTAATACCCTATATCTGCAATGGCGAACCTATGGCACCTATGTGGCGCCCTGTTGCCTGGCACAAGCAGTGTCACCCCTTCCTCTTCTGGATTTCTGGCGCACATGCAAATGTGACAATCAGCTGGACTTTGTGCACGTGGCAGTGCTGGAAACTTTGGAGGCTGGGCCTCCTTCGGGTACTGTCGACCGGGCAATGCCGGTTGGCGACTACTCGGGGGAGGTCTTTCTCTGTAGCTGCCCCGGCTCTGTGGAATGATCTACCCACAGAGATCCGGACCCTTCCCACTCTCTTGGCCTTCTGTAAAGCCACTAAAACCTGGCTGTTCCGGCAGGCCTGGGGCTGTTGACCCCAAATATGGTCCAGACCCACTTAGAATGGAGTGCATGGTGTGTTTTAAATCTATGTTTTTTAAATCTATCTTTTCTTTTTTTCCATTCTTTTTTTGATTTACTTTGTATTGTAAGCCGCCCGGAGTCCTACGGGATTGGGCGGCATACAAATGTTATTAAACTTTAAACGTGTGCCAACTAGCTGATTGGTGCACACTCACCAATACCCAGAAGACTTGCTGGCCGCCACGCAGGTACATGCTGGAAACCAGAAGTTCATTTTCCAGTGCATGCCTGCCCCCTGGGTAGCTCCTCTATTGGGTAACAGCCACAATGAGCATGTGCTCCCTTTTTGGTACTCGGTGCGGAAAAGGTTGGCCAACATTGCCCTATCCATCTGGAGAATTATTGATTGGGGAAAGCTGGCATGATCTACCAGTACACAAAAGAATGCTGCATGGGGCTAGCAATTGATGGAATGGTGCATCCAAATCCAGAGAGGAAAACTACTAATACCTGAGAACGGAGGCGCCTAACAATTTCCCTGCCTGTCTTCATTACTTTTCCCATTTCTCTTCTTTTTCTACATACTTAAACTGAATCTGGAGAAATATTGCTCAGCTTAAACAAAAATGCAGGTGCTATCCAAAACCCAATGCTTTTCTATCAGAAACAGCACTGCTGGTGTTATGTTATCTTTCTTCTCTTCTTCGTCCATAAATCACATTTATAAGCTACTCAAATCACAGCAATTCTGCAGGGCATGGATTGTAAGAAGAAAGTGGGCTAGAGAGAAATTTTTTTCATTCTGAAAACTTCAGAAATTAGATTCATCAAATAAGATTGAGTGAAAGTAGATTTAGGCAGGTGGCTGCAAGTCGTTTTTCAAATAACATATAACAAACTTACACAATGTTTTGTTAGAAGATATCATTATGGTAATCACATTAGGTAGCATAGATAATTTGAAGCCAGTTCATCTACAGTTATTAATCATGGGGTAAACAGTACCTATATATGTAAAAGTTGAATGGCAGGAAATCAACATTGTGCGAATAAATCACACAGGACAACTCTTGCCTCTGTGTTATCTTGTGGATTTCCCAAAAGCAGTTAGCTGGTCACCAATGGAAACAAAATGCTGAACTAAAAGGGATCCTAATGTAATCTTGCATGGCTACACACACACACACACACACACACACACACACACACACACACACA